GGACTACACCACCACACTAATTTCAATTTTGACGACTTCTGGGTATCACTTTCGTTGTCAGCGAGGCTGACTTCGACCAAGTCGGATAAGCCATAACGCCATAGCGCGGCATGGCTGTTGCCGTCTTCTGAGGGCGGAAAGTCTTGTGAATCAAAGTGCGTGTCTTGGATTGTCATGAAGATTGTAACGTAAAGGCCGACCTCGATGTGGCATATCTGCCCCGAGCAAATCGGTCATGCCATCATCAAAAATGATTGTACTAAGGCATATCTAGGAGCTATGGCATAGGTGCCTTTCGGAAGGATTTATTGCACTGAGGCGTATCTTAAGGTTATGGCATAAGCGCCCCGTCCGATGGAATCACTTGTACTGAACCTATCTCAAGGGTATGAGATAGGTGGCCCGCCCGGTGGAATTGATTGTAGTGAGGCGTATTTGGAGGTTATAGCATAACTGCCCCGCCCAAAGGAATCGATTATACTAGGGCATATCTTAAACTTATAGCATAGGAGCGCCGGCGATAGAATTGATTGTACTAAGGCATATCTTAAGGTTATGGCATAGGTGCCCCGCTCGAATGAATCGACTATGCTAAAGCATATCTTGAGGTTATGGCATAGGTGCCCCGCTCGATTGAATCTGTTGTACTAAAGAATATCTTGAGGTTATGGCATAGGTGCCCCGCCCGATGGCATTGATTGTACTGAGGCACATCTTAAGGTTATGGCAAAGGTGCCTCGCCCGATGGAATTGCTTATACTAAGGCATACCTGCAGGCTATGGCATAGGTGCCCCACGCAATGGAATCGAATTTATAAAGGCACATCTTAAGACTATGGCATAGATGCCCCGCCCGATGGAACTGATTTCACTAAAAGCAAACTAGAGCTTTAAAATGTACGTAAGTTTCACTCCATAATTCCCAACATCATGCTCCTGACTCACCAAGGCGATAGGACCACTCAGACAAGGACGACTCTACCATAACCCTACTACCCTTCCTTCCCTTCCCCTTCCCTTTGCCCTTCCCCTTTCCTTTGCCCTTCCCTTTTCCTCCCTTGCTATGCCTCCGTAGTGTAGTAGAAGGCTGCTCTGTCGTGGTCATGGAATGATAAAGACTGTCTTAACCCCTCGAAGTCCACCTCCACACTGCCATGCACAACACCCTTATTGGGAAATAAACTGGTTATGAGCACACCATGCAGCACTATTGTCGTCCACTTCTATATAAGTCAAGCCGATACCGAATCCGACACATCACCGTGGCATACCGCTCCATGACAACATCTTTCCCACTCAATTTACATCACTTTATCGTGACGGCTTATCGCTCGTGACTAGTTTATCAATTTTTGCGTAAGACCCTTGCATAACCCGCGGGGGGAGCGGTTGTTATCAGTCTGAACAGCGACCATTCTGTATATTTCCCTTGCGCTCTGATCTCTTTCAGCTGTCCCCAAGAGCATCACGGTGATGCCATCACCGCTCAGCAGCCCTTTGGATAGTAAAGTGCCGGCACAGCATGGTCTTGCTTGTGAAATTCACGAGCAAGCTCACTGCTCCCATCGCTGATCATAACTGCATTAGATGATGATGAGAAAACCGCGTGACAATGAGGTCCTACCATAGAGGTGCCATAAATTGGAAAATGCAGAAAAAATCTCAGGATCGCGGCGGAGCGAAGCACGTGATCGCAGCGGGAGTTCCAAATGTATCTATCATCTTGCGCTCTTCTATAGTTCTCTGCCGTAGTACCGTCCATTCGACGCACACTGTAAGAAGCACACGAGTCGTTCTCAGCTCTTCGTTTGTTGCTTGACTTCCCGCCCTTTGCCAGTCATGGAGATGACTTATCTTGAAGGAATGAAACAGGTTCATATTGACGGGAAAACCAGTTACACTGTACGACCCATCCCCCGTAGTCTTCATCATACCAACGATCGGTTTTTTAGGTTCCAAGGCATATGGAATTCATCCGTAAGGTGGGTTCAGGTGCCTATGGAACGGTAGCGAGCTTCAGCGATGGAAGAGGTATGCCCTGCAGTGTTGGTCAGATTGTCAGAGTCTTTGTGTTAGATCACAAGGTTGCTGTGAAGAAAGTACAAAATGCCTTTGATGATCTAATTGATGCGAAACGCATCCTGAGAGAGATAAAACTATTGAGGTAAACTCCTGTAACGGCTGTGTGTGGTGCTGAGGTTGCCTACTATCAGGACTTTTGACCATGATAACATTGTGCGTATTCTGGATATGTATCCGCCACAGAGCCCTGATTTCGAAGATATCTATATTGTAGAGTACACCTTCTCTCTTCCCGACTGGTATATAGGGTTTTAGGTGACGGACCTGATGGAAACGGATCTACATCGTGTTATATACTCAAAACAAAGCCTTACGGATGAGCATTATCAGTAGGGACGGCGACGACGACCGTATCGCACTAATATTCACTCAGATACTTCATCTATCAAATGTTGAGGGGACTGAAGTACCTTCATTCTGCCAACGTCATTCATAGAGACCTCAAGCCAAGCAATATTCTAGTCAATAAGTAAGGTTTTAGGAGATTACACCGAACCACACAAGAGTCGCTTGTTGTTCACCTCACGGCTTCATGTTGTGAGGCTGGATTTTTACATATACTCATCGGAAATCCCAATAACCTTGGGTATACTTTCATTTTAATATCGAATTGTAAAGCATAATCTATTTTCAGTTTCCTCAGCGATTACTAACCAAACGTAGTCGTTTTAGGAACTGCGATCTGAAGATTTGTGATTTTGGTCTGGCCCGAGGTTTCTCCCATGGTTGTGACGAGGGTAGCCTGGATTCGAACCTCACTGACTATGTTGTAACAAGGTAAGCAATGAGGTTACTACTGTGTTGAACCATTTTCGTGTTTTAGGTGGTATCGGGCTCCAGAGGTCGTCCTGCTAGCTTCTGAGTATACAAAAGCGATCGATGTGTGGTAAGAAGGTTCATCACTTAGAAAGACGAAGAAACGTGACATGGGTTGTTTCGTGTCTTCAGGGCAGTCGGGTGCATCTTATGTGAGCTGATAGGGAGAAGAGCTCTCTTTACGGGTAAGGACCATCTTGACCAGATCAAGAAAATAATAGAAGTCTCTGGTGAGGACCCCACCTGCCGTACTGCATGCCCCTGAATGCCATACTAGGTACGCCCACTGAAGAGGAGCTGCACTGGTTACCCCCTGATGGCCCGGCTAGACGGTGAGAATGTATAGGCTCTATATTGGGTATATTATTTTCCTCAAGGTTCATAAGGAAATGCCCTCAATCTTGCGGTAAAGCTATGGGCGAACTCTATCCCCATGCGAACCCTCTAGCTCTGGATGTAAGCGGGAGTGATATTATTGTGTGGTTAGTGGTTTACTGTAGTTGGTGAATTTGATGTTACGATTCGACCCGACTAGACGTATATCTGTGGACCAATCTTTGAAGCATCCTTATCTTGAAGGATATCATAGCCCTGATGACGAACCAGAGGCTGAGAGGTACGTGAGGGTAACGCCATGCTCCTGTGAAATCACTTGGAATTTTGTCATTCTCGTTGGAATTCGCTGACTGTAGTACTCCTCTATCCTGAGTCGTGAATGTGATGAGGAAATTGGTGAGATTGGAAATCGACTATTTGAAAATCACTGTTCCCCTGTCTAGGCCAGTGGATTGGTCATTTGACAACTTCAAACCCACCAAGAGACTCTTGCAGAATTATGTCTACTGCGAATGTGCTCGTTTCCATCCCGGCCTGATCCAGAGAGACGCTGGTTTATTCGCACGAAGGTAAGCTCGGAAGCGGCTGAGAGGAGTTCGTCGAAGAGGTGTGTGTGCCTTAGGGGACTAGATGTAGCATTACGCGAATATGGCCTATTGTGAAACACGAGAGATTACTTCTAAGACTCTATCAAACGAATCCTATCACTACTGCTATTCATTTTTTACCGTCATTGTTATGTTAGTATCAGAAAAACTGTAGTACGTGTGTAGGGATAAGGTGAAGAAGATGGCAGTCATTCGAGTGGAATCTTCGCTATTGCGATGTCTGCTGCATTGATAATATGAATTTATATATGTTATTATGCGATGCATTTTGAGTTATGGCAGTTTGATCGATTGAAGTCAACGTTTATCCCACTACACGACACACAGCACTCCTACTACAACAAGAAATACTCGTACACTTATAGCGATGGCAGTATGCAGTAGTGTTGTTTGTTTACTGTATTATTATTAGAACTAACGACCGGGTGGTAGCATACCGGCAGAGATGTTCCCCTTGATGATTTTACGAATGACGAATTACCCGGTTCCCTTCCGGAAGCCCTCGGCCAATATAATGGAGCCAGCCTCATACGTAACGTGAGCTGCCACACTTACATCGCCAGGGTGTACGGGAGGTTGAAGAAATGAATGACAAATAACTGAGTCGAACGTATGATGTAACCCAACATCCTGAGTGAGCTTTGGAGCATAGCTAATAGCGCTAAGTATTGCGTTGACACAACGTACCTGCCCTCTGACACACGCCGGAGGTCTTCGCTGAGTAAACTGGTTAAACAAGTTGATCTTGATAAGAGCACATGACGAAATTACTAAGACAAACGGGTCGTTAATTTCTGTCCCCACGATCAAGGAAAATTGGGGAGATGGTCGAGTTAGGGTTACTGAAAATCTATAGCGAAAGCCTAAGGGCACTAGTGACACCAAGATAAACCTCTTCTTATCGCTGTACGATACTATTCTGTCTACAGGAGATTGATGGATTCTCGAGTGAGTGCGTGCGTTACGGAAATATTCTGTTTATTTACGAAGCGTAGGAGACCAGCAGATAAATCAAACGACTCTTCTATATGCCGAGGTTTCCGCAAAAAACGAAGAACGCATATCGGTTATGAGAACAGCTCGACGAGATATCGACAAGAACCTTTGATGACGGAAAATGTACAATCCTGGGATCGAACCGGGAACCTAGGTCAAATTCATTGAAGTCACGAAGGCCTAGTATATTATAATGCAACGTAGGGAGTAGTTTTCGCTCATGTAAGGACTACATTGGCGACAGTATGACAACCGTGTTCCCAATGACGTGTAGAGTATTTAACATGACCGCGCCATGTATTCATAGTCGAGTGGAAGCAGTATTCCATACATTCGTGGAACAGAGATCCTCAAAGGAAATGATAAAAGGGCTCTCCTGCTTGTAGCAACATCACGTCCATCAGCGGTTCAGACAACTGCTGCCTCATTCACTGCCCTCGGGTCCCCCTTCCCAACATGCCTAGCGCTGGGTATGGGGTCGTATCAGGAACTTAGGATTAGGCTTTCCTCGATTTCCATCACCAAGAATCTTCAATGAGACCTCAACAACTTGAGAGACGCTGCGGTCCCGTGGCTGTCGAGTTCTCCGTTTACGTGTGTGTTAACTTCTGGAGAGGAGCTCCGATGACTTGTGATATCTTAATGATCAAACTCAGCATTAAATATCTCGTTCTTTTATCGTATTGCTTATTCATTGACTACATGATGATAGTTGCCTACACTTGTTGTATCCCGAACTGATACTAAAAGTGATACTACAACTGATACTACAAGTTGTATTCCGAAATCACAACAACAAGATGATAATGCCACATGGTGAGGAGTGGATGCTGCCAGGAGGGAATGATATGGCCTGGTCTGCCTGTCAGCTGGTTCTGGTCCAAGCGTTCAGATTAACTGAGTAACGCAACATCAACGGCCTAGCATATCCGCATCAAGTCTAACTAGGCCGGCGCCAGCGTTTGGTTCTAAAGTGAGCACAATTTGGTTCACAAATTTGGTGAAAGCGTTTGGTTCACAATAACAAAGTTTCAAATACTGAACACAATAGCCTTACTAGGCACAGATAACAGACATCACAATGAACAACAACATGTACATCTAATAGGGTTGATGGAATGAGTCGTTCACTAAGATGGCGGGATACGGGTTTTAGTGGCCTTTAGTTTCTCCTCCAACTGCTCAACTGAGCAGCTCAGGCACTTCCTCGAGCGGGACTATCCCCCAGGGGACTTCGTACTCTTTCACGATCTGAAAAGGGAGTGGTAGATGCCCATCCTACTATTGAGGCCCCCCTTCTTGGCCCTACCTCTCTTTCTTCTGCGATTCGTCCCAGCAGCACAAACCAATTTGCCAATGGGGAATTTTTCTCCACGGTAAATTTGTAAGTGCCATTTCTGACCTCCTTCTTCTTGATATCTCCCAAGACCAAGTTCGGTACTGGAGAGGACTGGCCTTGTTTTTTCCCCGTGTATCGTCGAGCAGCGAGCAAATAATCGTACAAGGCGATTCGGCAGAGCTCTTCAGTAGATGTCAATCCAATGCCTGATTGTTGAGATGATTCGAGAAAGTCGTCTTTGATGTCCTTCCATATCTTGGGTATGTCGTATAATTTGTGCCTGGATAAAAGAGATATTATTCTCTTTGAAATAGCCAGAACTTATGATCGCTTTAGTTCTCTCGAACGGTTCTGTGACAATACGAACAGACGACAGCACACAGCGATTTGATTGGACTCCGCAAGGTTTACTTGGGAGTGCTTAAGCCCTGTATTCGGAAGTTCTTTTGCAATTTAAGTGTGTGGCTGGAGGGATTCGAATCCGCCATAACGGCCGCCTCGCCTTCAATGCTGAGGCTACAAAGCGGCAAGACCTGAAACACGATACCCATGTGTACGACGTTTTTCATCGACATGATGATTAGGAGGAACGTCACGGAAGACCACAGAGCTCGTCGAGATTACGTCGTTTCCTCGACGGTAAATGCGGATCTTATCGGCACCGGACTTGACGCTGGCATGCATGTTGTTGATGAGCACATCAGCAGTCACGGAGGTGTTCTCCACTACGTATAGGGATGGATCTTCCTGGTATCCTAGTGCTTTCCACGACCCATCTCGAGAGTCTATTTCTATCTGTTTCTGTATCAACGAAACTAGTTTCCCATATTCTTCGTCGCCTGCCTCAGTGTAGGTGAACTGTGCAGACTGCTGGACCATCTCAACCAATCGAGCATGACAGGTGCCCGGGAATCTCCTCTCGAGGGCATTGTTCTCATCGGTTCGAGGGACTTTGTAAAGTCGCATATCCGTGCTCACATCCCTGAAAAGAAATAAGTCTAAGTCCTCCTAGCATCTTGTCATAGAATGAAGTCGTAGCTTTTTCTTACGGGTACATCGCACAACCAGCTTCGGAAAGACGATCGGCAAAATAAGCAGTGCGTCGTTCATCGTTTGTTATGGCCATCTCATAGTATGCATATGCATCAAGCGAGCCCATAATGAGCGGCTTTATCCTAATACTGCATTGGAAGTCCTGAAGGTATGAAAGACTCTCGCAAGAGGATCTCCGCAGTAAAATTTTCTCCACTGACATTCATTGAGTGTGCTGTCGTTTTCAGATCTTGAAATTCAAGAAACTGCTCATGTTATTACTAATATAAAAAGATTGTTCAATTCAACTGAAGGATCAGATGAGGCCGAGAATAGACTGCGAATGTCGAGAGCAGAGACCAGTATTATTGACTCACCGCTTGTTGGCAATATCCTTTTTCTGCGTCAGCTGCAAATCGCCGGCGAATCTCCGTGTGTAGCCTCCCTAGTGCTTCTGCCCATTTAGTGAGGGCCCTTCCATCGACGTTCCTATCGTCCCCTTCGTGAAGGGCAAGCAGAGTTTTCTCAGTCTGCAACCTTGTATCGGTTCGAGTGTAGCTGCCCACAGTTAGAGACAACCCTAATTCCACGTGCTTTTGCATCTCTCTTTCGCAGACTCCGAACAGGTCGTCCCCTATCTCGTTTGTCGTGTCCGAGATATCCCCTAGATCGAGCTTCGATGTTGGATATAAACTAAGCCTGATTCAGAAATCGCATTAGCCGACGTGCAGATTATTGTCAATGATTATCGAGGAGTGTGGTATTCTCACGTTCCATCGCTGATCATTTCCATCCGTTTTCTGTGAACGTCATACTTCAGAGTATAATGAGGGTATAACCGGTGGTGGTATGCGTCATAATTTTCAGATCGGTATGTGTAGTCCAATTTGCATTCGATAGGATCAAACGTCTGAAAGGATACTACTGTAACTATCTCAATACAAATATCACCAACAACTCATAGTGATAGATGACTAATATACCCACACTGTGATTTCACTATTAATGTCTGTAGATTTAATAAGTAGAATTGATTATTCCTCTAAGAGGAATCCTCTTGTTATGGTATACTTGCGATAAGGCCAATTACTTACCACTTTGACTTCATCCCATTCGTCATCCATGTCTACTTTTTGATTTTTCTCGAACATATGATTGAGCAAGGCCTCAACACGGCCGTCCCTGACGCCAAACTCAAAGAGGTTCTTCTCTTTCTTCGCGTTATCCACTGCACGCGTGAGCATGCTCGTCTCGTCGGTTCTACGTCCCTTAACCTCCAAACTGCTTGCGGTTGATCCCGTAAGAGACTGTTCTTTTGCCGTTCTTCTTATGAGTGATAGTATCGCCTCTTTGCAACTTTTAGGTTTTCGGGAATGGTCATCGAGAGATCGTGTAAGTAAGAACCCAGCCGATTTAATCAATCTCCACCTACAAGAGTGATCGATTATCGATGCTCTCCATCTATGATACGCTTGATCAAGTTATCAAACTATCATTCCATTCCGTCGCATTCTGGTGTGAAATTACGGCCACGCCGCGAATGTAGGGTCTCACTCGTTCTTTCTGAACACCTGTACGCCCGTCAAATCGCTGGTTAGTTCTACGTAGTAGAAGTCTCTTCCCGGCGCGGCGTATCGCAGAGAGCATTTATCTTTGGGGCCTCTTGATGGATTGACCTGATCATTTGACAACTCGTCGAGGCTTAGTTCGAGTCTCGCCTGAAATTTGGGATACTCGTTATATGGGATGCACTGAGATATGAGCCCAAATTTTACCTTCTTCCCTCGATGGAAAAGAGCCTGAAGAGTGAAATCGATGATGGACTCGGGTAACTCGAGAATCGGTTACGCTTACCTTCAGAGTCTCCAGCCCGGAACTTAACGAAGTGATGCTGAGAAGGACGAGGAAGGAATGCATATTCTGGGAAAACTCCTCCTGCAGATGTTTGTAGGTGAGAGGATCCAGCTCGAGTCCGCTCGATATGTTGACCATCAAGTACTGGCCACTACAGAACGACCAAGGTAGGAGAGCCCGATAACGGCGTCAGTCTAGATGTATTCGCGTTTCAGGGGGCTCGCAGTTTGAATGCAACGCTTATGGCCAACAGAAGACGTCTAAAAGGTCGCTGCCCTCCTCCCATCTAACAACACAACTCAGTGGGTACATGGTCGCTAACAAGGACAACGAACTAGAGTCTTCTGGTGAGTCGGCAAAGGGTCGCGGCAATCGTTTGGCTTCGAACGGTCTTCGAGCAAGAGAGTAGAGACGTTGAACTTGAGCAGTGATCGCACGTTGAAACTGCGATATTCACGATACTCTTAGTCCTCCCAACTTCTCGGGTTTTCCGCTCTAAAATGGGCTAGAATCCTCTGCTTGACATCCATGATCTCGGCGACGGGCTCGCTATCCAAATCACTTAAGCCAGGATGATGAAGTTCGCATCTTCCCATTTCGGGAGAGACTCCCATGCACACTCGACGCTCATTAATTTTGCTCTGTATAGAGCTATTCCCGATATGGGTCTGCTGGAAGCCTTTCCACGTTCGATGAGGGATCTGCGACAGCTGTCAGCCGGTCCCTCCTCGTCGGGTGATGACTGTGTGGGATCCCATGGGAATATTGCATGCGTCTTGGGTCAACCTCAGAGGTTACACAACATAAAGCTCAGTCATTACGTTCCGTTTCACGGTAGCATTCCCATGCTAAAGATTAATACAAGACATCGATCATCCGATTGACAACACAACATCACCAAGGAGAACAGCTCCAGATAATCGTTATCATTCCATGTAGAGAGGTGATCTTCAGCTTAGCCTTCCTTCCTGTGTGCGGGCCCATAATATTCCGGATCCTGCCGGAGTGATGGCGGATCGGGTGGGGTGAAAGTATTGACCAGAGACTCTGTGGTCAATACTTCCTGCACTGAGCCGGAACAGGAAATGTATCACAGATCTCAAGGAGTATCCAGAGATGAACCTCCTCGAGCAGAGCTTCCAATCTGGATTACCATTGAATGAGGATATCAGTATTCAGTGGCCTATCGTTTCCAGTGGGTGAGAGACCTACTCCCTACGGATGAGTTTTTCCTTTCTGCCGAGCGAGCTCAAGATAATGCCTTTTTGTGCTGAAACAGAGGCAGTCTCTGAATAACTGAGAAAACACTGAATAGAAGTGAAGAAGGATGCCTATATAGCCGACGAAGGAAGCTTCTTATTTCCCCAGGCATTATGCCTACGTACAGTGTACGTCATACACCAACGGTCGAACCAACTACCGATGGACCTCGGCTTTCCATGGCCTGTTGGAGTTCTCTGTGGTTCTCCGTCCATGTAACACAGTGTTCTATGAATATTTCTATCATAACGAACAACATTTTCCTAGTCAGAGCTTGGGTTTCGGTTACGACAGAGTTCTGGCGGTTGTGACAGTGGCTCGATGCTCTCGATATTCTGCGGATTCCCATAGTGAACTCGCCGGGCTCGAAAACCAACTTCCCCTTATATGTGACAAAGCAAGAGAATGAGACGGACGATTGGACACCATTTTAGATAAATTGATTATACATCGCACATCTCTTGTTTGTAGTTAGAGGAATATTCGCGCCCGGATGTGTACCTGCCATAAACGCTGCTATGTATATGGCATGCCTGATTAGATGTAGAACATGCTAGCTCTTCTTAATTTCCGCCAATGCACTTGGTCGGGGTATAGCATAATCTCCCTCCCTGACAGCAGACAGGCACACTCCAACCAAGAATCGTGATTTGCAATGATTTTAAGTATATCACCGATTGCGATATTCAACCAGAAACTCATCACCCAAAAGACTCAACCCTTACTCATCAGACGAAAGCTCCTCCGCGGCTTTCGCTACCATAATGAGAAGCTTCCCCAGTGCAGATGTCTCCGATACGTAGTAATGTCCATCCTTGCCTATGGTCACACCATGTGGATCGATGAAACCGGGATTATTCTTCGCTATGTATTTTTGAACGCCAGGGAGTAATCGTGAGGTCTCGAGATAGTAGACAAATGCCAGCTTGCAGAGGCCCGCCGTATCTCTCCCATTCGGCGATCCATAGCCCATCAAGTCAGATTCAATGCTCTCCGTTGTTGCAGTAGAAACGTGGTTCGATTCCCAGTGAGCATACCACTTGACCGATTTAAATTGTTCCTCTAATTCTTTAGTTTTCACGATGATGTGCCTGCGACGTGGCTCCTTCATGATGTGATGAACTTACGGATACAACGACCTACCTTTGGAAGGACACGAAAGCTATTCTGAACGACCGGTCGAGTCCCAGCCTATACTTTAGACCCTCCTTCGCCCTGGGGCCATCCAGTTGTAGCTCACACAGCGCATCAGTGGCGCTATGCGCGTCAGGATTCTGTCAGGATTCACTAGAGGATACGATAGATGTAACTCACTACTCGACGTACCATTGCGCTCTTCCTTGCGAGGTTTTTGAACACCACCTGTTCTCCGACAAAACGATGGGCGAGAGAAACGATAACATCTCTGGTTAGAAGAGCTTTTGGGAGTCGAAATACGGTCGGTGAAGGCGATTTCCAATCCAACAGTTCCCAGTCATGCTCGGCCTCGTTGAGCAGCTGCTGAAGGTTGAAGCTTGCCAACTCGTCATAAAGCGTGTGAGTTCTCCTCAGTAACGACTTTACGAGGGAGTCCCATGATTCCAACAAAACTGCAGTCAGCTTCTCTTTGCAGGACGCTGCCGTTGACTTCAGCGTGGGATTTGATTTCAACTCCGGAATGCCCGAACTCAGAGCGATGTCGTATGACCTGAGATGAAGGAAAGCTATGCGAAACACAGAGAAATTCACAGTGCGCTTCCTAGACAGGGGAAGTTCTTACACAGCCTGCCGAAGTTCGGACTCGTCTGTGGGGAGAATTGCTGCAACAAGGTGAACCTCAGTATTCTCCATTATATCCAAATGAAGGATGACTTGAAAGGATGCGGCCTCCAAGACATCATGTATGGTGCACTGAATACCCTGCATAGGACAATACATTATGGATTCAGGCATTCTGATACGTTGTACTAGGTTTACTTCCTCAACGGGGTAACCAATTGTTGGTTTCTTATGAATCATTCTCGTGATGTGGTCATACCACGCCAGCAAGTACTTGGGTATGTCCCGAAGAGTTTGGATATCCAAAGCATCGTAGTCTTTCACCTTGGATTCATCAGAACTGCTCATGGCATTGAGAATGGCGAGAATCTTAGTGCTATGATCTGGAATAATTGGCGCGCTATCATGGCGCTGCTGGAGATATCCCTGTCTCAGGAGAGCCGACATCTGCGTTGGACAATCTCTTGTCGCAGGCATTTCGTATCTCCGGCCGAGCTCATCACAAACTTCCAGTTCAGGATGGAACCTCTCCGTGAAATATAGTCGCGTTCTAAAGTATGAGGCGCTCCGTTCAGATTAGTGCCGACAGGAAATGACACTTGGGCTCAATCGGGAATGCCAATCGCTCAGGGGTCAGCGGGTTGGTGGTTTTCTTACTTTCCATCACTGATCATGGTGAAACCTCGCCTGTCGTATCCCAAACGTAGGGGCGCTTTCAAATGGTATGGTGGACCCGATACCTTATAACTGAGCTCACAGTTCTCGATGTCGAACCCCTGAGAAAAATGAGGCTACCTACGGACTATATCATACGAGTGAAACTTTCAGAGAGTGTCATAGATGATCTTTGTACCTCGTGCAAATCGATGGTTGTTTCTTTTCCTTTCATGTCGTCGAAAGCATACTCAAGAGGCGGTATAGCGCATTCGTAGGCATGAAACTCAGTGGGACTCTCCCCTTTAGGGACCGTCCCAACTGGCTTCAGCAAATTGAGATCTTCCCGTTTAGACGAAACTGCTCCGCGCCTCGCATGGTAATCCCCGCAGCGCAGTCTCATTCTGCATTTCCTATTGACCAGGGAATCCTTCATATAGCTGCAAATGAACTTTCTCGAAATTTCCTCGCAAGTTGCATCAGGACCCACAACAACTTTATGATCATCGCCTGACGGGATGATCACGTAACTAAGACGACAGTAATAGTAAGAGAGTGCTTTCACGTTTGAGATGAAAGAATAGAGACATACTGGTTTTTCCGGAAACTTTTGATGTGGCCCGTGTCTGCATCGAAAACGATGCGGAAGTCCCCAGCGTTACCATTGCTATGGAGAACGCATTTTTGACGAGGGAACTGAACACCAAAGAAGGAAGATTGGGGTCCGTCTATTTCCGGATGTTGAGTCTCACTGCGCGGATGACTGATCTCTCTCCTGAGAGAACTTCATTGATCTCAGCATAAAGGTCCTCGATCATTGCACATATTCCTTGATAACTGGACATGTCGTATAGCTTGTAATGAGCATTGTAATGAGCCTCGCGGATCTGTTCTATTCGCGCTACCGCTACTTCAGGGGAGATTACACGTCCCGCACTGCACATCGTCAAGGTATGCTTTCCTCGATGTTGTCCTATATGGGCGCCCATCTTCAAGAGTCTTTCAAATGCTTGGAGACATGTCTTAGGCCTAGGGTCGAGTACAACAACATCAGGGTTCTCATGAATGGGCAGCTCGTTAGACCTAAGGACGGAACTAGCTCATAGTAGTGATCGATATGAGACTTACGTCCCGTATTGGAACGTGGTGATATGAGTACGATCTGCGGAGAGCTCTAGGTAGTAGGACATCAGCTCAGATGCCGTAGTCACTGTGTATGAGAAGGCACAGGTGTCGGGTTCGGGTTCATCGATCTGATTGTGTTGAGCATTGGAGATAGAGGCATCGCTGTAGACCTACAGAGGCTCTACGTTTCGATTTGGACCTCAATGACCTGCTCAGGGATTTCCGCAGTGATGAAGCGGCTCTCTGAATATGGAGTTGTTGTATCCCACATTTGGCTTCTGATAAGGAGCTTACCTTGATGCTGGACCCTCGAGCTTGATGTAAGCACCAGAGTAGCATTGCATGGTGTATGAGTAGACGACACATAAGGATAAAACTGCGAGACGGCATACTATCTACCCCTATTAACCATGATTCTGCAGGTTGAGCGTTGCGAAAAAAACTGGACTAGCTTCCTCATAGGGAGACCGTTCCGGAGATACGCGATATTGACGTAGGTGTATACCTGTAGCACGAGATTTCATGGGCAATATTCCAGTTGTATATACTAAGGAAAAATTAACTACCGGGCGTGCGCGAATTAGGGCGAGCGAGATTGAAGATGCTCTTTTGGTGCAAGTGCATCACACACTATTCTTCTGTTGTGGCGGTGCTGTGCAGTTCTGAGTGGTTCTAGGCGAGGGACTCTGTGAGAGAGAGAACCGCACAACTTAACTCAAGATCTCAGATAGGATAGATCTAGAGTGGCAGAGTAGAGAGCGATAGAGCGGTCCAGTGCGCGGTCCAGTTTCCTCAATGGTACTGTCGTCACAGGACAGTGCGGAGGTATTTGGCTGGACTGCTCTTAGATCCCGAGGTGAGTTAAAGCGAGTGCTGTGAGGAGTGTTCTATGCTAACTGGCTATGGAAGCAACAGTAGTGATGATGGTGTGGTATTGGTCAAATTGATCCATCTAATAGGGCAGTATCCCCTTATTATTGCGGAAGGTTGGTTTGTTTCGACCTCCCATACATTATCACAATAAGCATATCGCGATCTCAGTCCACCACAGACCGGTTCCTGCCAGATAAAGTTTTTGAAACGGGACTGTATCGTAACAATGTCATCGTGGGAGATGATGCTCGTGGAAGAGGAGGAGCAAACGAGTTGGACAAACGCTGTCGACGCTCCACCACTATTTGATATGTGATAGGAATGACTTCCATTTCACCACTCGAGATCGAGGGTCTTTGACTAGTAGGCGTTTGGAACGTTCGAGTCTGCCTATCTCTATCATGGCTTCCCTGTATGGTCGGTGATAGTAGTATCGTCGTCGTTTCGTAGTTTTTGCTACACTCACCTTGCTCGGTTATGTCGGGTTATGATCGCGCTATTACAGTGTTCTCGCCCGATGGTCATCTCTTCCAAGTTGAGTAAGTATCAGTATAAGAGTATTGTAAACTGAACTCTAGTTGGGCATTTCAAGATACGCGTTGGAGGCGGTAAGAAAGGGGACCACAGCGGTTGGGGTCCGAGGAAAGGACACTGCAGTGCTGGCTGTTGAAAGGAAGGCTATTCCTAAGCTACAAGATCCTAGGTATGGCCCTATCAGTGTTGGAATATATGTTTGGTTTCCTCACCTGAGCTCAGCAGTTTCCTCACTGACATGAAGGTTTACACACGAATTCTGATAGAAGTGTCCCAAAACCAACGAGTAACTTCAAAAATTTCCAAAATTCTTTTTATTTTATCACCAACACATGTAGCCGACTATGTGCATATTTTCCAACACTGGTTCCTATCGTCAAAAGGAAGCTATGTATACTACCTTAGGACGGTCCGGAAGATCCTCAGAATAGACCAACACGTGATGTTGGCTTTCGCTGGCCTTAACGCTGACGCAAGGGTGATAATGCGGGTTCATCGTCTACTCTGACTCGACATCTAAATACAGGTATTGGCCAATAAGGCTCGTGTGGAGTGTCAAAGCTACCGCCTCAATGTTGAGGACCAACCAACAGTGGACTATGTGGCTCGATACATTGCAGGAGTCCAACAGCAGTACACCTATAAGGGAGGTCATACACTATAATGGGAGGATGGTGCTTGTCATTGTACTATTCAGGCGCTCGTCCCTTCGGTATATCAACCTTGATAATCGGACAAAACGAGCAGAAGAAACCCCAGTTGTAAGCCTCCCTAGAAGATGTCATTCAAGTCGTTTTCCTGAACGCAGATACCAGACAGATCCATCTGGGTCATTCAACTCGTGGAAGGCTGCTGCTATTGGGAGGAACAGCAAGACTGGTAATATCCTCACTCACTACCGGCTGATTCAATGGGCTGTGCATCAGTGAGTGACTATCTCGAGAAGAACTACAAGGAGGACATGTCTGAACAGGAAACAATAGAAATGGCGGTCAGGGCTCTGCTAGAGGTCGTGGACTCTAGTGGGAAGAACGTCGAGGTTTGCCTTATGAAATCTGATGGAACTCTCGTTATGTTGGAGGAAACTGTCGTAGAGGACCTATGCAAGGTAGTTTTATCGTTATAGGTGGTGTTGGCTCACATCGCTTCTGATCAGTCTCTCGATGAGGGAATAGAAAAGGGCAGGACACAGGGCCAGCAACAGCGTGTGTGAGTAATACAGCAATACCACAATTTGTGAGCCCACTAGAAATGATAGTTTCTCACGCTTGTTCTTTCTATGTCGTGTTGGTTATTACCATCGGCGTTTAGTATTCCCAACATGGTAGGCGTCTCTCTCCGTGCACTCTGGCGGCTAGCACTTCTTCGCTTTGCCGTTGTAACGATGATAGTAAATCTCCCTTGCTCTCGCAAGTCAACACTATGCTCATCCCTGTTGATATTCTGGCCCGAGAGGACCCGATGGCGATGGACGCGGCGAGTGCTACGATTATTCTGGGTCTATTAGTATTAGGCTCAGCCTTGTTGCATAGACTATAGCTGCTATCTCTTGAATAGCACTAAAATTAAGCCCAACACTTTTTTTGAGATCGTGTACCATTCTAACCGGTACCGTCGCTGTGTGGCGTCAATCCTGTTGGGACAACCTGCCCGCAGGAGACATTTTCGATCACCACATTTTTGTATGGCATTGACTGTGGTATAGTTGGGGAAGGGCGCCACCCTTGCCATCCATAGGCGTCTTCCTTATTGCTGTGTTCGAGCACATGGGATAAGCTGTTGAGGCCATCACTGATTCGATGAGTTCGAGCGGTTGTCAATCTTATTAGAAGTAGTCTAACTTTATAGTTGAGGCTATCCGATGTGTTCTCCCACACACTCTGTGTACTTCCTAGGTAATTCATGATTCGCGAAAAATGGGAGGTCGATATGATGTGGAGCATGCCCGTTGAATACATGGTGGAAGTCTGATGCTGTACGCAACTTCGAATGCTCTAACAGTGTTAGAATGTCATACGAGGTCTCCTTTAAAGGGGACCACATGCCTTAGGATGGTTTTGTGTCTTGATCCCCGGGCCTTCATACTGTTGTGTTGTCTCCCGAGAGGAGGGTGGTGTAGTAGGGCAGAAGGACACCACGAGCCTAGGTGGTGCTCAATACCTGTCGCGACATCTCACATAACCACATGAGATTACCATCGATAGAGATGGGGTAACTCAG